ATCACTGAGCAATTCCTGGACGATCCTCGCCTTTTGCTCTGGAAGTCGCAAGGCACCTCAATGACCGACAAATTCCGCCTGTTATGGGATCAACTCGGAACCCTCTGGGTCTGTGTCGTCCTCAACCCCAAGTGCGAAACCCAGGAGAAGCAAATGTGGCGCAAACTTCTGGATCGTTGGGCCCGGGTTCAGGTCTGCCCGCTGGAGGATCCCGACCACCGACCGCCGCCGGCGTCTCAGTCAGGATCCCAGCAAAACGGCGGCGGGAACGGAGCACCCGGCGCCAGTGGAGCCGCCTCTCAACGTCCGCCGCAACTGAGGTTGAGCTCATTCGGATTACGGGTGTCGGATACGAGTGATGCCGAAGAGGACGAGGACGACGAAGAGGAAGAACGAGACGGATCCGGAAGTAATAATTCCGCGTCTTCGGATGAAGAGGAGCATGAAGAACGCTTGTCGTACTTGAGAGGGAAGCGGAAGACGCGTCAGACGACTGCAGAAGAGCGGAAGCGGAAACGGCGTCGAAGAGTGCGGCGTCGCGGCCACGGTAGCGATGGAACTTTGACGAAACATGTCCCTCGCACCGTCTTCCATCGGTGATTATTATTTATTTTTATCATTTCTTTGGTCTCGGAACGATTTAATTCACCCAAGGAGGCTTCATGAGTTTTAATGTTCAATTATTCTCGCTGCATCACCGACTATTTTTTTCTACCGCACCCGTACTATTTGGGGCATATGCAGTAATTTTGCTTAATCACATTTCATTTGTTTGCCTCAACAAGATGTCTTATGGAAAGATTTATATTCCAACTATTTTTAGAATTTATTTTGCTTAATTTACTCCCATTTTATTCATGTGCGTATATTTTATCTAATTTTTATATTACTGTATTTATGCTTCTACGGTATTTTCATTTACTAATTTTACTTCTACTGTAAAGTATTTACTTTGTGTGAGAAGCTATTTCGATGCATCATCACACCTCATGTATTTGCACTTCTAGATTTTTTTTGCATTGCTTCATTTTTGTTTGTTTGATCGGCGGAAAATGTGTCGACAATTTTTGAAAATGTCGCGAAAATTTGTATGAGAAATTCTCATTCAGGAAAATTGTGACACTCCACCGCATACTTTGGTTCGAATTATTTAATTCCTTTCTCGCATTTATCGTCGTTGAGAGAGGTAACATGTGAAGTACGATTTCAAATTTATTTTTTGAAAGCTAAACTTAATTTCCACGCATTGCTCTTAACTTGAAAACAAATTCGAGCTATTCACAGTTCTTCGATTTTGCTGGATTTAAGCGACTGACAAAAAAAAATGAGATGATGACAGAAGATTGCGGCATTACCGAATAGAGCTAATTATTAATTACCGTTTTGCCTTGAACGTTGCTGAAGGAAGAACACGTGAAACTAAAATTCACCATTTGTTCTCCAGGGCATTGGACGCCGTCAGGCTCGATTGGGGAGACGCACATTTGCGGAGCATCTTGTCGTCCACCTCCATGGACGACAGTCCAGCTACCCGAGATTCAGAAGGAGCTTCCTCATCCAACTGGTACAACATCCATGGCCAGCCCATCTGGTCCTCCGAAGACGTGCCGACAGCCGCGGCACGAGTGGACGCCTTGCGAGCCCACGGGTACACCCGTGAAGCCCTCCGGCTCGCCGTTGCCGTGGTTCGTTCTATGAAGGTGCGTAGTTACGAATACTGTATTTAAGTTCAAAAGTCATTATTGTGTCATGGAATCAAGTTTGAAATAACTGAGCAAAAATATCATTTGATTCTACTCGGGTTGAGTGTCCGAAATTCCAAGTAAAATACTTCAAAGCTAAGCGTTTTATTTTTTATTTTCTATTTAGTTATTTTTAACCCTGAATAACCGAGCTATACTTTTAGTCAAGGACGAAAACGAAGCTCAATGCGCTTAACGTCGGCCAATCCGAGATGGAAAACTCCATTAAGTAGAGAGAAACTCCCATGAAAGTTATTTTAGTGTCATGCAAACAAGTTCGAATAAATTAAACAAAAAGTATCATTTAATTTACCTTTGGTTGCGTGCACAAAATTTTGAGTAGAAGACTTCCTCCAAAGCTGAGCCTCTTACTTTTTTTCTTCTAAATGAATCAATAAAAATTGGGACCTGACCCAATAGGAAAATTAATTCCTGTCTTTGCTCCGAGTTACACCACGCATTGCATAGGGTATGTTAGGCTCTACTTTTCAAGTTTATTCATCCCTCTTGCCCCATGAGAGTCGATGAATTAACTTTATTCTTTCTATGAATATTTTTTCTTTCTTGAAAAAACATTGTTTTCGACTTGATGCCTAGACTTGTACGATGAAAAGCAAAGCTATCGTGTATTTGGAATGTAGGCTGTTCTGTGTGTGAGGATGTTTACCTATCGTGAGAAAGATTTTTATTATTTTTTATTATTGAACGCCATTTAGTGATGAAAATTCTAGCTTTTCAACTGCTCAATGTATGATGAAATATTTTATTCTTTTACCAGGCCAAACAAGCAGCCAACGCGAAGAAGTGGGCTCGAATCCATCACCACTCGGACTCTCGTCGTCGGGACTCGAGCCATTCCTCGCATCGCTACTCTTCCAGTTCTTCGTCCTCGTCCACCAACTCATCTTCTCACTGCTACCCGCGCAACTATTCCTGTTCCCGGCGACAACATCATCAAGCGGCAGCGGCGGCGGATGGTTGGCACGGCAGCTACCCATTCTCCAACGCATTGCCGCCGTCACTGAGCATGTTAGGTCACGTTGGCGGTTATGCCCCGCCTGGTTACCCGTCTGGCACGGCGCCGTCGTCGGCATCGTCACCGTCGTCGAGAGGTTATGGCTACGGACCGCACGATTTTGCTCCGTCGAACGGAGTCGGCACGGGCTATCGCACTTCGGGCAATGATTTCTATCGCCAGTGCTATCAGCAATTCTATGGGCAGTTCCAGGTAAATATCTGGGTCCTCGTCAGTTCAATATAAACTATAAATGGACGAATTCGTGTGCAAATGATCTCTGCATTCGCTGGTAATCTAAATTTAGCTTCGAAAATTAAACCGCGATTCCCGGTTCAAGTGTACCTCAGAAATATTGTCATGTGCTTTTACTGTATATTCAATGAATGTTCCACGGGGTGAACTGCAATTGGAAAATCTGACGATAAAATGCCTAGGAGTACAGTAAGAAAAATTATAAAGACACCCTAGTGACCATTGACTTTTTACTGAACTATTCTTATCAAACAAACAATCAACTAGCCGAACTGATTTTGCAGATTAGAACCTAACTCGATCAAATTAAGCGTGATTCAACTGATTGTACGAAAAATGAAGTGATTTTAACAAAACCAGATTGGCTTGAACCTTGGAAACGTGCTACTCGCCCTTTTTTTTTTTTTTGCGTTTGCACTTGAGAATTGCGTTCTTCCCATGTGCGAGGGAATTTCCTCTTGAAACTTCAGCACCGTTCGCCTTAGAGCCGAAATTGAAAACGTGTGTTTGAAATTGATTCGATGTATTGTAATTGCTTACAGGAGGAAGGTTGGATAGGGCATCCCATGGACCCGATTGGGTGTTACAAGCTGTGCGACCGCCTTCGCAGCCAACATGGTCTCCTGGTTCGTGCACGCTGCACGAAACGCGGTCCGCCACCGCCACTAGAGAGCCCAAGAAACCCATGCCCGCTGCTCCTTCTGTTGTGAGGCCACTTACGCTATCGACATGTTCTCGTCGGCTCAAATGGTGAGAAATCTCTGCCAGGGTCTCGTCATTTTCCGTCGAGGGGGTTTATTTCTCGTGGAAAAATCAGCATTAGTAATGCAGGAGGATTCTCTTCTTACAACGATCTTGTCTAAATTTTGTTTTATGAGGTTCGCGCCAACGAAACTCTTCACAACGAATTTTGTTCTCGCACCTTGACTTTCGGTCTAGAGAGAGTTCACTCATATAAATTTTTTCCGCGATTGCCATTGATTACAAGTCACATCTTGATTTTGCAACTTTTGGATTTGGAAAAAAAAAAACGGATATTTTGGCGAATCTCGAGATGAACGGTCCCTCGCATCACAATATACCAGATACTCCTGCATAGTTCGTAGACCAGGAGTGCACCGAATGTTATCGTGAAGTTTATCAAGACTGTACACATTAGAAACGCTGTGCACGTTATGAATTAAAATTATCACATGCTAAAGTATTTCATTTTAGGTGAAATCATCCTCGTACGCAATATTATTAAATACCTTGTCCGCATTAGCTGGAAAGAACTGAACTGAGGAAGAATTTCCTGATAAGATTTTGTCGAAAACTCGAAGTTATCTTCGACGATGTATGAAGATGCTCAATCGTATTCTCATTGTTGAACCACTTCGTAACCGAGTATTTGTGCGTGGTACTCGCTCTCTAAACCAACCCTACACTAAACTTAACCTAACCTTAGCATTGTGCATCTGTTCGACGATTGAGAGATGGGTACCTGTGAATTCCTCAGCACTGTGGAAGGCAATTGGAAAGGATGAATTTTGCTTTATTTTAACTTTTAATGATCCTCGTTTCAGGAGATGCGGTGGAAATGTCATCCGAAAACGGCCGACAGTTGGAATCCTACCTCACGTTGGGAGTAGAAGTGGCGCTCATGGGCCTGGGTCAACAGCGTCCGATGCCGGCGGGTTTGTACGCTCAAGAAAAGGCGTGTAAACACGAAGACCGACTCATACGTCGCCTGGATGAGATGGAACTGGACGAGCGGCTGGTGGAAGTTCTGAAAGCACAAGCCGCGATGCTGTTGGATGCCGGACCCATGTCGGGTCTTGGCCACGCTGCCCCGCCAGATTCCACGCCGATGCACACGTTTGCTCNATTGCGTTCTTCCCATGTGCGAGGGAATTTCCTCTTGAAACTTCAGCACCGTTCGCCTTAGAGCCGAAATTGAAAACGTGTGTTTGAAATTGATTCGATGTATTGTAATTGCTTACAGGAGGAAGGTTGGATAGGGCATCCCATGGACCCGATTGGGTGTTTGTTCGACACGCTGGCGGAAGCGTCGGTTGTACCAGAGGACCAAGCACGTGCGACGTGCTTTGCGCCAGGCGGTGGCGGTGATCTCTCGGGTTCTTTGGGTACGGGCGACGAGGAAGACAACACTCCACACTTACGCTATCGACATGTTCTCGTCGGCTCAAATGGTGAGAAATCTCTGCCAGGGTCTTGTCATTTTCCGTCGAGGGGGTTTATTTCTCGTGGAAAAAAAAAATCAGCGTTAGTAATGCAGGAGGATTCTCTTCTTACAACGATCTTGTTTACTTTTTGTTTTATTGGGTTCGCGCCAACGAAACTTTCTACAACGAAGTTTGTTCTGGCACCTTGACTTTCGGTTTAGAGAGAGTTCACCTGTATACATTTTTCTGCGAGATTACAAGTCACATCTTGATTTTGAAACTGTTGGATTTGGAGAAAAAAACCGAATTTTTTGCGAATCTCGAGATGAACGGTCCCTCGCATCACAGTATACCAGATACTCCGGCATAGTTCGTAGACCAGGAGTGCACCGAATGTTAATTGTCGTAAAGTTTATCAACACTGTGCACATTAGAAACACTGTTAACATTATGAATTAAAATTATCTCATGATACGGTATTTAATCTGAGGTGAAATCATCCTCGTAAGCAATATTATTGAAAACCTTGTCCGCATTAACTGGAAGGAACGGAACTGAGGAAGAATTTCCTGATAAGATTTTGTCGAAAACTCAAACTTATCTTCGACGATGTATGAAGATGCTCAATCGTATTCTCATTGTTGGACCACTTCGTAACTGATTATTTGTACATGGTACTCGCTCTCTAACCCAACCCGACACTAAACTTAACCTAACCTTAGCATTGTGCATCTGTTCGACGATTGAGAGATGGGTACCTGTGAAATCATCAGCGCTGTGGAAGGCAGTTGGAAAGGATGCATTTTGCTTTATTTTAACTTTTAATGACCCTCGTTTCAGGAGATGCGGTGGAAATGTCATCCGAAAACGGCCGACAGTTGGAATCCTACCTCACGCTGGGAGTAGAAGTGGCGCTCATGGGCCTGGGTCAACAGCGTCCGATGCCGGCGGGTTTGTACGCTCAAGAAAAAGCGTGTAAACACGAAGACCGACTCATTCGTCGCCTGGATGAAATGGAACTGGACGAGCGGCTGGTGGAAGTTCTGAAAGCACAAGCCGCGATGCTGTTGGATGCCGGACCCATGTCGGGTCTTGGCCACGCTGCCCCGCCAGATTCCACGCCGATGCACACGTTTGCTCGCTACTTGTTCAATACGCTTATCAATTACGACGTGGACTTGGCTTATCGCGTTGGGTTGAGAGCTATGCGGTGAGTCACATACGATGTCACGGCTTGTTGTTGTATACTGTCGAACCTCTCTGAGACCAACTTCGAAGGACCAACAAAGAAAATTCGAATGAGGGAAATGGGCATTTTTTCGGTAAAAAAGAAACCAAGAATTAAAAGAAATTGTAATTGTTAATTGTAAAAATGCCACTGCTTGAATATGTCTACTTGATTGTAGAGAGAAAATTAATTGTAAAGAACGATGTGGAAAATCACTTGAATCACAAATTTCCCCTTTTTGGAAGCCCAGTTTAAAAAAGAAGCCGTATGCCACATCCCTCCTTTGTTTGCTTGAATGGAAAACTCTAGTAAGAGGAGACAAAGCATTGAATGGTCCCATCTTTCCAAGACCAAGTTTTCACGACGGTTTTACTCTTGATTGCCTTACAGACTGCCGATGTTAGATGGAAGAGATGAGCATGAAGACTCCCATGGGAACAACGGGAATGCTTCGAATGGACATAATGCAGCTCCTCGTGAGAACAACAATGCTGGTGCCAATGCCAGTGACAATAGCAACCCGGCGAGAAATGTCGTGTATAGTCGGTGCCCGCGGTGGTTCACTTTGGGTCACATCGAGAACCAACAGTGCCAATTGGCTTCCGCCATGCTAAGTGCTGCAAAAAGTAAGTCCGCTTCTGCTCTATCTAGAATTATCATAATTTTGAAGTTCATCTTTGCGCAAAGAAAATGTGGAATGGGCCGCATCGCGATTTCTGCTGATGATATAGGAATAGAGTACTTTTTTATACATAGCTTCGGTTTTTGGTTCACATTTCTGACTTTCCAGATCTTTTAACCATTTTTCTCAATGATGACCTCGTTGAGATTTTCCTGATTTCTGTTCGCGTTGAATTTCGACCAGCTCAACTTATTCTCATCGGATTATTTCTGAAAATATTTTCATTATGCTCTTCCTTACTTTAATTCATGAAGCCGTTTAGTGCAAAAGATGATGAAGATGGCGGAAAAGAGTTTAATTAAAACGTATTCTTCACCATCAGAATGAACCAAGGAACTGTGTTTCTTCCTGTTTTTATTCAATTGAATCCCAGAAGAATGAAAATCCCTTTTTTTCAAATTCTTGCTGGTTGTCTTTTTAAATAACGATAATGCAAAATGTGTATCCAATTTCCAAGATTAAACCGTACAATTTTGTGTCATATCTTGAACCCAATTTTCAGCTTATATCCGAGTTTGTAGTTGAAAAAAAATTCTCTCAACGCTGTGTCAAAAACATTTTGAACGTTCTTGATAACAGATCGTGTCGGGCGAAACAAAAAATTATGATTTTGAAAATTTTTGAAAAATCGTTTGCGTTCAAATTTAGCTTTTCTGGATCCATATAGTTTTTTGAAGTAAAGAATTGGTCTACATTTCCTGGCTACGACTTTGTATTTACGAATCTCGTCTCTTCCTTCCATTCCAGGTGACATGCTTAGAATGCGAACAGTGCTCGACTCGGCGCGAGCGAACATCCAGAGTTCCTCGCATCTTTTCCGCTTGGCACAAGACGCCTTCAGATTCGTCATGTCCTCGTCGACTCCGTCTGGCGAAACCGGCATTACCCCGACGTCTGCAGCATTGCTTGCCACTCCTCCAGTCGTTGCTGCAGCAGCGGCAGTCGGGAAATGGTGCGTTGGCTGGTGACTTGCGCGACTGAGGTGGGACTCGACGCGCTGATCTCGATCATGCATAACTGGGACCAACTGTTCACTCCTGTTGAAGCTACCTGTGAGTATTTTGAAGTTGACGGTTGTTGTTGGATTCTTGTCGCGTTGAATATAGCTTCCCTAAACCGTGTGGGTTCATTCGTGAATTTTTGTCAATCATGCATGCGCTTCTCTTATTGGAAGGAGATGAACGACGTATCTGTAGAATAATAGATCATTTCCTGATCGATCAGTGATCCGTTTATTGTTTACCGAGGTCACGAAATGAAGAAAAAGATGAGAATTGAAAGTGCTTTCCGTCAATGGTGTGAGAAAATGATGTTTATATCATTATATGCCTCGGTCAAAAAATTCGGGAATTTTCCGACTGTCTTGAGTACTACCAACCATTTTAAATGCAATGATTTTAAAATTTTCTGCTTCTAAAAATAATTTCTGAAAGTAAAAAGCAGATCTATGAATTATTTTCTCTTTTTTATGATTGAAAAAGAAGATCGTCCTTAAATTTCAATCGGCGATCACAGTTTCCAATAAAGAGAAATTTTTAGCAAAAGAAGCTTGCCTCAATCGGCATGTTCTTGATCCTACGAGAGTTTCGAAAAGATTCTGGCTCGGGTGCTTGCTTACCCGAATGATAAAATTTTCAGGGCACGATCCTGGCACAACGGTTTTACCACGCTGTATGTGACGTACACTATAACGATGCGGTTTTTTTTTTCTTCGCGAGAGAATTTGATGAGACACAAGCGCTACTGTCAGTTGCGAGATCATAGCTCGATCTATTCGATGAATAACTTCCTTCTAATCGAGGTTCTTCCTATGGGGAGTTATTCCGAATACAGTACTGTCTGTTACTGCATCTGCTGCTGATTTATTTGCAGCTTTGTACGTGGAAGACATTTTATTCAGAATGTACTGTATTTAAAACTTTTTCTTTGTTCTGTAAAATTGTATGCGCCTTTTTTTTTAAAGAGCACTGCTACCAGCAATGAGAGCATAGCTCGATATATGCTGTGAAAAACTTTCTTTTCCATTGAGGCTCTTTCTTCGGGCAGTTTTTCAAAATCATTTTTATCACTACACCTGCTGCTGATATTTAAATGCACCTTCTTTAAGATAAGTCTTACATAAACTTGAATAACGAAGCGAGACATTTTACAAACTGCAGAGAAAACTGCTTCGCCCAATGAAGTTTACACACCTAGCCCTAGGCCGAATTGCACAGGGTAGAACTTGTTCAATTCTTTTTTGTGATTTTCGGGAAGAACGATTTAGTGTGCGATGCTTGTCTTATAATCCAATCGTCTTTATTTTTTTCGTTTCACAGCATCAGTAGCCACCACAATCATGTCGCACGCGACCATAATCAAACTCAAGCTATGCTTCCGGCAACAAGAGGAGCTTGCTAGTTGCGCCCGCACCCTGGCGCTTCACTGCGCTCGAAAAGACCCCGCGAATTGTGCCCTGAACGCATTGACGTTGTGCGAAGGCGACCACGCGGCATTTGAAATGGCGTACCAAATCGTGCTCGACGGCGCCGCATCGCACGTCATGACATCACACCAGCTCTTTGTCATTGCGCGTTTCATGGACCACAGACGGCATTTGCCGCGTGCGTACAAGCTCGCCACGTTGGCTATGAAGAACGTGCACCTGGCGTACAACCAAGAGTCGCATCCTGCTATCAACGATATCCATTGGGCGTGTGTCTTGTCGCATTCGTTGGGCAAGCAAGAACTGGCGAACCTTGTGCCGCTTCTCGTCAAGAACGTGCAGTGCGCCACTGTGTTGTCGGATATCCTTAGACGGTGAGTTTTTCGATTATTATTTTTGTTGTTGTGGGGAAATGCTGACACAACGAGCTTGAGTCATGTTTGAGAGATCCGGAAATTTTATTTTGAAGCTCAACGAAGTCTTCCACAGTACTTTTTCTTCTGGATGCATTGTACTCTGATGAGCACTGATGTATGAGGTTTACCAAGTAGGGCATGGGCAACGCATTCCCCGCTGGTAGCACCAGCTGTTTCTGCTATGTTCATGTTGTAACACCTAGGGAAACATCCGAAAGTAACAGCGAAATTCAAATTGAGCAGTTTAGAAAATGCATTCCAAGTGCTGAGCCATCCTAAATTGTCAACCCCGAGAATGCAGTTGATTTGGAGGATGGAATGAAGGAACAGTTTGAGCTTTGACTTAGCTGTAGTGTCTTTTGTGCAGACCACAATTTTCCTAGGTTTCTAGCATTCCCAATTTTTGAAAGAATCTGAAAAATAATCATTGTAATGTGTAAAATTTCTCAAGCATCTTCTGTGATCGAGATTTTAACGTAGCAGTACTGTATTTTTGTAAAAATAAATTGAATTTTTATGTTTGCCTCAAATAGCTGAAATTCTGGAAAAATCTACTGCAGTTTGAATGGAAATGAAATCAAATCAATGATAGATGCGGAAATACTTCACACTGGAAATTGTCTAGAGATGAATTTCTTGTGTATTTTATACATTCTTACAATATGAGCTTGATAATTATAAAAAATGAGCAGTTGAATGGGGGACGTGTTTTCTGGTGCGTTTTTCTTAGGATTTTTATTGACTTAACTAGAGTTCGGAATTATTCAGGATGTGGACTGGCAGCTATACCAGAATAAAACGTTGGAAAAATTCGAGAATGGTCTAATTTTATAGAGCGTACCGACATTCCCATTGATGTCGAAGTCTATAGTTGCCCAGATGATTGCATTTTTGAAGAGGGAAACAGAACGGCTCAATCTGAAAATCCAGTTTGACGGCTCCTTTGTTCCCTTATGATGGGAAATAAATACTGTATTCGGGTGCGGATAATTGGATTAACTCTACATTTGGATGCATTATTTCTCGAAGTGGTTAATGATGGTATTTTCTTTTTGTTCAGGTGCTCAATGACTGCCCCTGGAATGGCCGCGTCTCCGAGCGTGGATCACCACCACCATCACCACCACCACCACAAGCGACGAGGAGTGGCGAAACCGCTGGCCATCGACCGCCCTCCTCTCCGCGCTCTGCTGGACGCCGCCATTGCCGCCTACATATCTACAACCCACTCCAGACTCACGCACATCAGCCCACGTCATTACGGAGACTTCATTGAGTTCCTCGCCAAAGCCCGTGAGACGTTCATGCTGGCCATGGATGGCACGCAACAATTTGCGCAGCTCCTGGAGAACATGAAAGTCGCCTACAAGGGCAAGAAGAAGCTCATGTGCCTGGTGAAAGAACGGTTTGGTTGACGTCGGCTCTGCTCCTCCTCCTCCGTGCCCCGCGCGTTTCACCGAGTTTTGTTGCCCCTGTGATGGCCGTTTTTTTAGGGATGTTTTGATACATGTACGAGGAGGGAGAGTTTCAGAAAATGAGAGAAAAAGAGTTTAGGCTATAGGTTCTGGAAAATTCTATATCTTGATTCTTGAGATTCGAATGAGGTACCGTATTTTCCCACCTAAATTTCCCAGCTATCCTCTTTCTGAAACTTCGGGCAATTTTCTTAAAAATTACCGTTTTACTGTACCATGACAAATTTTAACTCTGATCCGTGTTATTTTCGATACCTCAATGCCATTTTCCATTAAATTCTTGCAGTCTTCTGAATCCGAATCATGTGGGAAATGTTTTAAAGATAATCGACACGGGTATTCAAAAGGATTGAAATATTGGCATGCTCTTGGAGCGTTTTATGTCTGTTCGTCAAATGTGTGTCGGCTTCACTTCCCTCAAAATTCAATTCTGAGCGACAAACTGCTTCCAAATATGTTTCAGCTGAATCTTGATTCTAAACTGACCCAGGGATTTCCGGTATTTTCCATCAGGTTTTTATGCGTTTTTCTGTGCTTTGAGAATTCAGTGTTGCTTTAAAAAAAATCATGGCAAATTCAGTGAAGTTTCAGCTCTGATGCGAGGAGAAAAGGAGCGGTGTTCTGAGTTTTCAAAGTTACAGATCATATCGGATACTGCTGAGAAGAAAAAGCTGAGAGAAAAGTTTGTTTTGATTAGCCTTTATGGTACAAATGCGGAACTGCCTGTCGACGGAAATGTGGAGGAGGAAAATGGATGGATTTAAATTCCGAAGGAATCCGGGGATGGAGGAGCGAGAAGAACTGACGATAGCTTCATGCATTATAAACTGATATTCGTCATTTATATGTTGGTATTGCAGATCCCCTCCGCCTTCACCAAATGTTCAGTAAAAAAGAAAAGAAAAGCGGTGGGGTGGAATATTTAGCATGGTTTTATCGGTCTCAGGTTTAGCGAGTGGCTTGTAAGCGGAATCCGATCAGCTGCTTTGTTTAATTTCCCTCGTGCGCCTTTTTTTGTCCTTTTTTCAACGCATCGGGAAGGCATTACGTGAACGCGATGCCGCCAAACTTGAAGTTTTGAATGCGTTTTTTTTTTGTGGCAGGGTTTTTGATCTCGGTCCTTACTTTTTTTTTGTTTTGGAACCCCGCGGAAAAAAACATTTTTGTCTGTTTGTTGTACAGGAATCGAAGGGATTCAGAATGTTTGGATAATGTCAGCAGCTTCACCTTTTATTTTGCTTCTGTTCGGCACGCTGATCTCTGGAAAATGTTTTTTTTTGTTCCTGCTGTTTTTTGCCTCAAATGTTGTGCACAGTTCAGGTTATATAAGCAAGGCCTAACATTTTTTTGAAGGAGAAAAAAAAATTGAAGAACCATTTTTTGGCAGGAATTATAGCTTTACGTGATCCCCCGTTTCATCCTGCTATATTTTCCGTGAAGAAAATACTTGCCGTGGGTGTTGAATGTTGACCCCCCCATCTGCTCCCTGTTCTGTCTCGGCGTTCGATTTTGAAATTGATTTTGGGGAGATGATCCTGCTGGTATGTATTTTGTAAAACTGTATACCTCATGGAAGTTCGAAGTTCCGAGCTGCCGAGTGAGCTGATTTTTTTGTTGGGCTGAAGTTGTTTTCAATTCATTTTCACCGCAATTACCTCGGCGTGAATGAGCATGGCGAAGAGAAGAAGAAGAAGAAGAGGGAGGAACTTCATCCCGTGTTCTCCTTCCCCAAATGTCGTTTTTGTTCTCGGATTGAAAAAGTTTTTTTTTTCCTTTGTGACGGCAGGAATTCTTTTTCGAATGACGAGTCGCTTTGCTTTGCTTGTTGGTTTGTTAAAAAAAATTATATAAAGATGGATCTTCCCCCATGCCGTGCAATAAGGCTCGAACCGCCTTTCTTGCGCCAGGAAACAATCCGTGCAGGTTGCCTTCGACAATTTTTTCGCGAGCCACTTTCGGGCAAAGAGCGTGTTTGTAAATGAGGGCGTTTTTAGAAGCAGAGGCCGGGGGAAGATGATTTTAGCGTAATGGAAAAGCGGGCGAGTAGATTCTTTTTCTGTCTCGATGACTGCCTGTGGGCCTGTCAAAAGTGGTCGCTTGACACCTGTCGCCGTCGGCATTGATCCTTTTTATTTATATTTCTTCGTGAGTGCTGACAAATAACGATGTGATACGAATAAACTGAAAAAAGAAGCGACTCGATTGGGTTCATTTATGCGAGATATATTTTAATTTCAGCTTTTAAACAAAGAAATCCTCTTTGGGATATCGTCAACCTATTTATTTTGGAGCTTCTCATCCGACGATATTTTGTCATTGAATGAGTTCTTTTGAGACAACGCTTCAATGAGTGGAACGGAAATTCATGACATTCCCTGTAAGGAGGTGTGAAAATGTACTTCACATCTTGTAGATATGATATAGAACCTTTCAGGTTCTATATGGAATTTCGACAACTCGATCAGAATATTCGTCAACGTGACGCCGAAGGAAATTGTCCGGAGAATCCTGACGAAAGGTTGTCATTCTCTGCAGTTAACTAAAAGGGATTTAAATCCAGAAGACGAACTCAGTCGAAAGTGATTTATGTAGACGACGGGAGAAGCATCATGGGACCACGCAGTCGTCGCAATTGAAAATGGGGATTTAACTGGCAGAGATCTGCAAGTTAGCGGATGTGTTCATCCTGAGTCATCAAAGTTTCTCTTTTTTTTTTATTCGGCAAGTCCTTGACTAAAAGATTTAAAGGAAAGGTGTCAATTTTTTTTAAAAGCAAAGAATACACTTGTGATATTAAAATTCGACATCTGAAGGAGCTATAGAAGAAATAGAGAAATTTCTGATGTCATCCTTATAAATAAAGATACAGTTCGTTTGTTCGATGTTAAAAGAAGGGCATTCTTCATAGTACAGGTGGACTCTCTCTACAACGAAATTCAAGGGGAAAAAATAAAATTCGTTTTTGAGTACCCCTGAAGTAAGGAAGAAGAACCTTATGGGAAAAATTACTGTACACCCAGAGAACATTGTTGTGGAGAGCCCACCTGTAAATACTTGTGTAATTGCGTGAGTCACTCATTCACGATTCATTGGGTACTTGCAGATTGCTGAGGAAGTGAAAAATCTCAATTGTAAAAGATTATACAGTACCTGTACTGTATTCACGTATCCAAATTCCTATGGGTTAGATGCAGTGGCTTGCATATAACAAATCGCTTCGCATCACAAAATTTCGGCCTGCAGTTTTCATGATGGGAATTTTTGGGTGAGATTCTTCCTCTCGTTGTCCAGACACGGTCATGCAGAAAGGGGCACTAAGGCAGATGCCAGCATAAGAGAAACGGTTCATAAACAGCATTCTCAAAACAAATATTCGATGTTATATTTGTGCTGTAAGCAAAAATAGCAGGAAAACCGACAGAAAAAAGAATTGTTCGCAATAAAAACATGCATTAATGTGAACGTTCATTAGATTCTATTTTTATGCATGCAAGTAATTTGATCATTTGAAAATTGAAACATGGATACAAATTCTATTTACAATACTAAACGATGAGACCGAGAAAACATTAAATGGAGAGAAAGACGTATACGGATGCACAATACAGTAGTGTGCTTGTACTACAGTACTTGACAATTTAAAATTCACCCACAAAATTCAAGTAACTACCCTTGGAATACAACATTAAGGAGCTTTTTCTCACATGGGTCATCACCATACAACCAACAGACATAAATCGAAAAGTATAGTTCAATAACAAAGGTTAAATTGAAAATTTTTTTCAGACGTATTTCACAGAAGTTTTGAAAAAATTTTTCCAGCCATTTTTATTACAACGAGTCATCCGATAAGATTACCAACTTTGTTTTGTGTAGCAAGACGATTCATCCCACAATAAAATACGAAAATAAATACTCATTAATTCTTTTATTTAATGAGAAATTCCTGTAAATAATTTTGAGGTAGCTAAAGGATTCAGATGTGGATGCCCTCTGTGGAGAAAAAAAACTGGACGAGTGCTGCAAGGTGAGACAAAATGCTGGCATCCATCAATCTAAATAAGGATGACTCTTTCAAATACGCAGATCACAGCTTGTGCTTTAAACGTTCCAAATTATTATATGTCAGGTAATTTTAAATTTAGATTTTAAAAATCGGCAGAACAATCATTTCACCTTCAATGAGATCTTCCGGAATTGCTTTTTCTCATTGATGATAACGCATATCATCAGTTGACTATTTTTAGCATGTAAAGCTTTTGAGACAAAACTCCTTTTTGGTTATTTAATGCTGTAGTTACTTTATAAGTTTACTGATGCTGTTGGCCACAGTAAATAAAATACACCTTGCACATAACTAATGGCTTTCAGTTTTCAGGTGTTCTACATTATCTTCACACATGGCAGCGACGAAAATCCATGACTTCTTTCTGTAAAACTGCAAGCCATTTTTTCTAAAGGTCTTTAGGTTTACAATGCAAAGGCCTACTTCAGCATAAAAAAAATGTGATGGCTACTTGATTATAGGCACCCTTTGTGACTTGTGGCTGTTCCCAACAGTGAAGAACTAACTGAAAAGAGGATTGATTTTGAGGATACAGGGACAGCCTCATTTCTACTGTTAAAGATCAGCTTAATCAGCTGGCGGATTTGATTTTTGGCACTGTTTTGATTTTTGGATTTATTACATAAGAAAATGCATTGAAATTGGCAGAGAGTATGTTGAACAGTGTTGCCAAATGATGAGGCTATGATGCAAGTAAAACTTTTTTGTTCAATTGTTGAAACTCCCCTGGATCCATTCTAAGAGTCTCAAAACTTATCATGAACTAACCCTCGTATACGTATGATGTGAAGTAAAAGTTATGCCGCATTTGTTTGAAGTTATACTGTACGTTATTGATACCGAACTTTTTTCCCCTTCAAATTGGGTGCTGTATCCTAGACAAGGGTAGGATAAGGTGTGCAGTTACATCTCACCCTGGCCCTTCTCATAATAATTCCAAAATGACCAATAACTGCTGCACATGAGGGAGGCGGGGACTTCCCTCCCCCATCAGAGCATATCGGTTAGAAAAATGCTTCACTGCACCATCAGTTCAACTCCCCAGCAGCTATACATGTCTCATCCCTCCCACAGTGTTTCAGTGTATGATACTACGTCAATCGTCATCTTCTAATTCCACGTTTACTTGTTTCCCTATGATGTGAAGGGAGTGCTGTGTTGGGAATGCTAGAAACCTAGGAAAATTGTGGTCTGCACAAAAGACACTACAGCTAAGTCAAAGCTCAAACTGTTCCTTCATTCCATCCTCCAAATCAACTGCATTCTCGGGGTTGACAATTTAGGATTCTTGGTTCCCCCCCCCCCCCCCCCCTGCGAGTTTCTGGCCTGGCCAGTGTTTGCTCTGTGACCAGAACCAAGCTAGCCTTCAGTTGGATCCTGTCCATCGCATGGATCGGACCAGCGGTGCGTTCAAGTGCAACTGACATGACGTGTCCCTGTTATTAATGGAGGAATAAAAGGAAATCTTTTTCCTATAATTTGTTGGATTCCGGATGATTTCCAACTTGTGACCAGTTTTTTCCTTTGCTTGATGCACTGCAGTGTGTACAGTGAGACCACCACATGTTGACACCTCAACATGCAGACAATTTGACATAGGGAAATTTATTTTTTGATAAAAAGGGCATAAAAACGGCCATACATGTGGACACCTACTTGACATGAGGACGTTGCTTGATAAAATAATTGTCAATAACTTTCAAAAAATTGACTTTTATTATGCTTGATTGCAAGAAACATATAATTCCAACCCTAAGGTCTATGTCCAGAAATTTTTTGTCATTTCTCCCATAATTTTCCCATCCATTCAGCTAATTAAAAAATTACCTATTGCATAGAGGGACTTCATTCTCTCTCTGTGACTTGAATGTTATTTTTGCAGATGCCAACATTTCAATCTACTGTTCATAGGTAAACTATTCAAAGTTCCAAATGTTCTTATTGAGTTGAAATTATATTCATTGAATCAAATTCAAGTGACAAACAATTGTTTTCATGGAATTCTGAGGAATATATCTTCTATAAAACACCAATTAAAAATTGTATAATGTAAGTCTACGGGAAAACAAGACTCAACTTGGGGAGATTTAGACTTGGGAGCACTCTTGATGCACAAACTATTTCCTCATCTGGGAGTCTCGCTGTGCTCTTGTAATTTTTGAGATTTTTAGTGCACCCAGATAATGCCTACAGTATTTATATGAGGATAAAATAGGCCGCTGGCTCTTTGATTCAAGCTAGAATCTCATATCAGCGATTTAAAAAACGAAATTGATATGAAAGCTGCATTTCGGTATCCAGAATTTCCTTTGACCTATTTATGCTAATACATTATATTTAGGTGGTGATTAAAGAACAATCCACAGCAGTTGAATGAATGGGTAAACGTTAGAAGAGCCAAATTCATAAATTCCCGCTGTGCTTCCAATCGACATTATTTGGTACAATTCGTTGAATTAAACTTTGAGCCTTGAAATATCATGTGGATGATGTTGAAGAAAAGGTTGGGAAGTCTTGGTCCAATTTCTCCTGAGTCCGAGACTAAAGATTTCTTTCAGAGGATATCAAATTTGGAAATATACGGTATACAGTATTTACGACTCATCGATGCAATTTCTTACGACAAAACACAGA